AGGTTATATTTTTTTACACTCAGGAGTCATGCATTTTTATTCCTCCCTAGTCCACCTGCAAAAATATTGCTTCTGTGGCCTGATCTGATGTCATAAACTATTGTGTCATAAACAAAGAAAAACAGCGTTCTTACCTCTCCAGGTATGCAGTCAGATGACCCAGGCTGTAAACTGGAAAGTATTTTTTCCATCGGTGGCATTGGCCAGCCTAGGAAACTCCATGGGCATCTGTATCAGCTGCCTTGGAATTGCTTTTGATGTGATTAGGCTACTAATTAGCTGTCTCAGTTTTTCTCTCCCTCCTGATGTTTTCTTTTGATTCACTTTGACTCCGAGGAGTCTGTATTCTGTGTATGTTTGCTTTTGTGTTTTGTCTAAAATCCCTAATGATAGCTTAGACTGTCCTCTTTTGGTTGAGAGTTTCCCTGTGTTGACATACATTTTTCTGTTAAATGCATGCATCAGGATTTTTCTCCTAAGAATAGCTCTTATTTTGCAAGGTGTAAACAATGTATTGTCAGTGTGTATACGTACGTGCATATTCATTTAAACTGTGCTAAGGATTTTACAGTCCGAATGAGAATGTGCATAGTTGCTTCAAAACCATAGTAAATGTTTAGTACTCGAATATTTATTCACCAGATAGTAACCTCACAATTAAATTATTATGGAAAGTCAGTTAAATAACAGCGGAAGTTATTGTATTAAGGCCCACTTTGCAAGGAAACCAATGACAAGGAAGCAGTGAAACACGCTAATAGATTATATGCTATAGCAATATATTGCCTTTTTATTGCTTTTCCACAGGCAGCAGATTCATGTATAGTTATTACTAGCTACATTATCTGCTAGTTTTCTATCAAAAAAGATTCAGTCTATTGAATCATTAATCCAATATTTATCATTCTTATTGAAAATCCACTAGTGTTAGCGCTGTATAAAATATTGACTTAAATCTACTGGTTTTGCTAAAGATTAAAAACATATTAACCTAAAAAGCACAGTATTTCTTAGGACATTTGAAACCATTCATTGTGGATGTTTGAATTGACAATATTTCTATGTTGTGTCAGGAATGATTTTTTTTTAAAAATCTTTAACATATAGTAAGTGACCAGTGCCATCCTGATTTGAAGATGCTGAATGTTCATCCAACTCATATTTGAAATTTTGATGTGTATTGCATTAGTTACTGAATATCAAGAATAAAATTTTTGCTCATACATAGAGTGTAAAATGGGATCTTTTGTAGCAGCACACGGCCTGTTTAGAATGATATAACAGGCGCTGAATGTTCACATATCAAACAAAATGCCATCTTTCTGTAGAAAAGAGGTGTCAAAAAGTTTCTTTGTACCTTTAACGCATGTGATTATGTAGTACAAAATGCAGAGTTTGTAAAATTTCTTGAATATACAGGCAAAAAATGAATAATTCAAAACAACTCATAAGTTCTACATTCTATTGTATCTTTTATAACGCAGGCAGAAGATAGCATTGTGTTCCCAGTAGAGCTGAATTTGCACAAGTTACACCTCTGAAAATGCCAGATGGTCTATGGTCTACTTTTGAGAGCTGTCACATATGTAAAGATTTGAAAAAAGAAAGACAGCTGAATGAGAGCAGTGGATCATTAAAGAGGGAGTGAGAGTCCCTGGGTATCACTGTGTTTTAAGAAGCATTGTGTCGTTCCCCATATTACACCTTTTTTTTTTTAAGATATACACAACCTTTAAAAAATAAGGTAAAAATATTTCTGTTTTAAACTGAGTGGTTGTGGCTTAATCTTGGAACTGTCAATTGCTTTTGTTCTTTGTGCTAGAATGCGGTCATATGGCTCCTAATTGGTTTCAAGTGTGTTTTAACCATAAGATTCAAGTCTCCCTAGTGCAAAATTATCAATAAAGTTAAAATAAATTTAAATTGAGATAACTAATCCATTTGGGGTTTTATTCCATTTTGATTTGACCTGCGTATCACATGTGAATATTGTAAAGCCAGTCAGCTAAAAAGTTGTATGTTAATGCTAAAAGACTGAAGTAAAAGTACTTTGGGAAGAGGATTATTAAAAAAGAACCCAAAGCCAGAACCCACCCTGTCCCCCAAAAAAACTCTTAGTAAAAATAATAATAAAAGCAAACACAAATGACTGTTTAGATTCCTTCAGACTTCCCATTCACCCACAGTTTGACAGAAACACACCTCATTTTGAAGATGGAATTTTGGGTAATTTGTCAACTTACTGTATTCTAGCAAAGCACCAAAAATATACAAACAATTGTAAGCTGCCACCACCAATTTAGCTGGCTTGGAAAAGGTCATAACTGTCAGTTTTAGAAACTTGCGTGTCCAGACATACAGAATTTTTAGTATAGTGTTGCTTTTATTTATTGAGGAAGGTTAACCTTCTGCAACTGCACCGCTCCACAGTTGGGAATTGTAGGCAGCGGCTCAGTGTGGGGAACCATCGTTACATAGAATGTGAAAAACACTGTTCTTAATAGTACAATTTACATTTAAGCGGGATAATGAAAATAAAGCTATGGGGAGCTATGGGCGTGAACACTGAACTTTAGAGAGTAAATATTTTGATTTTTGTTGTTGCTAAAGATTTTATTTTTGACTATAGTTAGGTCCATATTTTTAAAATGGGAGCATTTGATTAGTTTTTTAACAAAATTTGTTTTGCATGTATGTAGAAAGGTGTCCTACACAAAGGGCTCCTGGTAGTGTACTTTTAAAGAATCCAGTTTCAGGTAGGAGAAAACTCCCTAAAAACTTGTTTGGGGGCTTTTATGATAGTCTGGAAATGTTAGCATAATATATGCTATAAACGGAATTCCAGAGTGCAGAAAGTGCCTTGCTTATGCTTCTGTTCATAGGTTTTGCAAGCACTAAAGCAAAATTGAAAGGAGAATCAGTTTCTGTATTGTAATCAAAAACTTTCTGGGCAACAGTTAGTTGTTCAAGTGTCAGAAAGCATTGTGCCCCTGCTCTGTTGGCTTGGAGGTTCATGAGCTGTTACTGCTAGTAATGCAAGGGAATGATCTTTGTCTTCCTTGCAACATCCTTCGGGAGGCTAAAGCATAAATGTTTCCCTCAGCCCTCCCTTTTCTTGCAACACAAAACTGTCACTTTTGTAAAGTAGGTTCAGTCAGGGTTACTCTCTGACCTAGACAGATGTGGGTAGTTTAGGGTATCTTCTTAAAATCTTGGTTGCTGTGGCTAAAAAAATCAAATGGCGAGAAAAAATGAACCAGTTCGTATTTATACTGTTACGAAAAGTATCTCTTTTTGCTTGTGAACGTGACTAGGAGTTGAAGTTCAAGATTTTTCTGAAGTTTAATCTGGACAAGTTTATGATAGTTGGAGGAAGCAATCTGAGAATGGTATCAGTGTCCTTGATAAAAGGGAAGCATTGAGGGTTTGTTAGGCAAATTCAGAACTGAGAGTGTTTTTAGCGACCGTGCTGGTCTGTGTGCCCCAGTAGTGTTTGTCTGAAAGTTTGGTCACTTGTACCTGAAGTGATCAGTGGAGATGTTTCTTTTAGAGGAAGCTAACTATAATTATCTATACATATTGTTATCTTGGACACAGTGTAACCTACATACAAAGCTGTACTGTGAAATCAGCTCAAAATGAGTATGTATCATCTGAAAAGAGAATGAACTGCATCACTGTTTTTCTTTACTGCTGGCACTGTCTAATCTCTCTTCAGTTGAGTGTTGAGTAGAATCTGGGCTTTTTCCTTGACATTAGATTTATAAATAGTTGAAGATTGGACTGTCTGAAAACCTCTTTATGTCCAAGCATGATACAGTAGTGTTTTGATTAGGAGAGGTGATTGGGTTGATGCTTTTGGATTATGAAATCTTGTTGTGGTACTATGTGTATAGTTTAATTAGTTTTTGAACAAAGTCTGCATTTCTTCTTCTAAATAAGAATCTTTAATTGGAAACTACTTTTTTTATTACAAAGCTTTACATAAAAAAAAAAAAACCCTGCATCTTATCTTTTCTTTAGATACAGACCTTAAATACATAGACAATATATCTTCCATGTTATTAAAAATACGCTCCTTTATGATACTGTAGGTCAACAAAGAATGGTCAAGTTTCATGCCCTCTCATTAGAATGCACTCTTGGAGTCTTAACCAGGCCACTGCAGAGTCCTGCCTTGACAGGTTTTGTATTCTTTTCCTTTGACCATTTCAGTTTGTTGCCATTAAAGTCCTAACTGGCCCAACAGCCATTTTTAAAATGGTGATTCTGAATTGAGGAATAAGGGCAGAGGGGACTCTGGCTTGCCACAGCTGTGCCATGTTTGAATGCATGTTCCTTCTGGTTACTGGATCACCTCCTCCACAAAAACAGATTTTGATTGGTTTTGTTCTTCCCAGCAATCCGCAATCTTTATGAATTTAAGCGCAAACTGTTGTTAGTCACCTGGATGCTCCTATTCTTCTCTAATATACTGGTCTGTGGTGGCTCATTGTTGGGGGGCCCCTACCTTGTTACTCAGGTTATTTTCTGAAGACTGGCAGGTTGGCCAATCTGCAGCTTTATTTCTGTTACTGCAGTCTGTATCTTCTCTCCCATACCTTTTTCTCTCCTTCTGTTGCATTGCCCCCATTCTTTGTTTGGCTCCCTTAACTGAAGTTTATCTCAGTTTTGCTAGTTTTTCTCCCATTCCTGATTTTTTCCTTCTTCAAATTACTTGCCTTATTCTCTCCATCTAATTCACAGAGCATTGTGAATGTTTCCATGCAGCGACGAAGGGGGAATCTAGGCCTCATACAGACATGAGGTGCTTTCTGAATAACTAATAATAATTTTTAATCTAGAGATATTTTTTGCTTTCTTTTTTGATGGTGGAATGTTAGCTTTTCAGTCTATTCTTTGATCAATACGAGCAATGGAAGTTGCCTTCCCAGTCTAGCCTAAAGTGTTCAGTTACAAATTTACAATTTAAATTAACCCTTTCTTTCTTTCATTTTAAGCACAACCTCAACGTTTGCCTCAGCCGAATCCTTCAGCACTGGAAAGGGGTGAGGAAGAAAGTGGCAAAATCCAAAACGGCCATGCAGGTCTGAGTAATGGAAGTGGAATTCACAACGGGGTCAAGCACACACCTGCGGACAACAGAAAACTTTCGGGTCCTGTTTCAGAAAAAATGCACAGAAAAATTCAGTCCACCTTGTCTGTCAACAGCAACAGCAGCAAGAAGAGTAAAATAAGCTCTGCATTTTCTCAAAAGCCAGGTACTTCACCTGAAGGTAAGCAGAAATTCTTATTAAAAACCCCCAAACTGAATAAAGACTAGCCGAACCCCGTTCTCACTAATAATTACACAGTCAACTGAAAATAATTGAAGAGCATGACTCATGCTCCAGAAGCAAATAGAAATCATTATGATAAAACACAAGTTACTTCCCCAAAGGAAAATATTAAGTATTTGAAGGAAATTGAAGTAATGGGAGATTTCTTGCTTTCAAGCATTTGGCCAACACAGTCTGATAATGTTTTAGTCTCTCTAGTTAGCATCTTGAACTGATAGAAACTCCTGTCAACATTGTCACATATACACTGGAAAAAAAAGTTAAAACACTAGTTCAAAGCACAGTAAATACTTAAATCCAGTAATGGCAGCTCCATGAGGGTAGAGTTTGCTTTTGAAAATGTTCTGTTAGCAGATATTCTGACTAGCCATGAGGTCTGAACACCTCTGTTTCAACGTTTAATGTGCCTTATGCTCTATTTGGGCTGTAAATAATTTGCACAAAAAGGCTTCGTGCTCCCTATGCACAGCTTAAATAAGCAAAAGTAAATAATTTCCTTTACATTTTAGCTGTGTGTGTATGTTTTCACTGCTTGCAATTGCTCTAATGGTCCCAGAGTTCCCGAGCCTCTCCTCAATCCCCTGCCTTCCCATTAGTGCTAATATACTTGATGGGCTTTGCCTCTGCCAGTTCCAAGAGGGGTGCAGAAGCTCTATAAATTTTATTGGTTTGAGTCAGGCATAGATGCGACTGGTTAAAAAAAGCTCTGGGGGGTGGGTACAGACACAGATTCTTAGAGAAATGGGAAACAATACTGTTCAGTGAAATGGGGAGGATTCTCAGCCTAGATGAAAGGAATAGGGATCAGAAGGAATGCACGTAGTTGTCTGAATGAAGCCTACTGGTGTCATTGGATGACTTTGCTTGACTTCTGCTACTTCAATCAAACCTACTGAGTGAATCTGTATAGTAATCTCATGAACAGCTTCATTCGGACTGTGCCATGGGCTACTCCTCCTTCTTGTGGTTTATTTTCATATTTGTCTTCAAGAACCTACTGTTATTTTTCTGTCGCACTTTCAGTCCTCTAATTTTTTTTTCCAAAATCACAACTTCATACTTGCTATATTCCTCTTATTTGTTTCTGTTATGTGAAATCCAGTTCACCCTCCGGACCAGTATTTTTCTTAATATATCAAAAAAACTAAGTCAAGAGACCTAGATCTGTTCGTGTGACTGGTACAAAGATCAGGCATCTGAATTTAGGAAATTCAACCTCTGAAAAAGGAATTTCGGAGTTCTAAAGAGATGGTGCCTGTCCTGTTCATGCCCTTATACAATTATTTATGGCAAGCGCTTCCTTTTTTCTTCTAAAGTTATATTGGAATAAATACAATCAGTGGGGTTTTTGTTTGTTTTTAATAACCTTGGCAGTAATTATGTCAAATTACTGAATGATTGAGGAGAAAATGAATAAGATAGCTTCAGATATAGCTATAAATTCTAATGTCTGATTTTAATATCCGACACGATTGTGTTAGTTGACTGAAACTGCCAATATACAATTTTTTATATACAGCCAGAAATGTTGATATTTTTAAAGGTGTGTCTGATTAGAATATAGATAATTACATTGTGTTGTCACACTAACTTACATACTTTCAAAGTACAGAAATACAGGGTAATCCTTACTGTCACAAATAGTTTCTTGAGTCACCTAATAGCTAAAATTACATATATTCAGCATTATACATGTAACCTTGTAATGTTCTCATTTTGAATGTGGGAACTTGGATATATGCTCTAAATAGCTTGACCCACGCTGCTAATATCTACTGCTCTAAGTTTTCTGTTAACCAGCACAAGTTTTATTGTGAAATTATTAAAATATACCTAGGGTATTTGTGTCCACACATCTGCATGCACATATGTACAAGCCTTCTGACAGTTTCTTCAGCTTTTCAGTAATTTACCCTTTAGGGCTGCATGGGGGGACTATAGGCTGTAAGTAATATTCTTATCAAGCTATTACCTTGCAGGAAGTATCAATATATACGTGATTTGTTCTATCATCCATCAGTTTTTGATAAGGTGCATAATCAGAGACTCTGGCAATGGTCAGTTGAAATATGTAAAATAACAAAAAGAAGAGATCACTATTTAAGGAAAAATGGTTTATCCATACCTTAAAAATAATTGTGTCATGAATTTAAGAAATGTTAATCTCTTATGAGGGCAATACTTCTGGAAAATTACACTTAAAAAACTTGGTATAATTAGCCAGGTTATTTGTTCAGAGGAGTTTAATTGCATTTAAACCAGCAACATATATACTTGATGAATACATCTATCTATACAAAAGCAGAAGAGTACGGTAGCGAGTCCTGTGACTGAGGATTGCATAGACACACTTTCAAAGTGGTATACACGAATTAATTTGAACCTAGCTTCTACAGATACTTTGTATTATGAATCATACTTTTGTGGGCAAAGAGGTATTTTTGTGAGCAGTTGTTTCTTCTGATCCAATGACATCTGTGTAGAAACTATTGAAAAGGTTCACAGGAAGATGGAAAAGATAGGAAACTATTGGAAATTATTTGCAACATTGCTTAACTACTTGGCTTTGCTTTAACTTGTACCATGTTAACCTCGTAAGCCATTGGTTATTGCTGAAGAGCTGCTGGGTTTGAGTTTACTTGAAGCTGTGTGTTTGTGTTTGTGCGCATCTATACAGGATAATAATATGACTTGTATGCAGTTTCTTATGTAATCTTATGCAGAAAGAGACAAATTACGTTAACTTTTGTTAACATAAGTTAACAAATTATGTTAACTCAGCTACTTCAGTTTACTATAGTGTCCAAATAATTTTAGTAGAAAGAAATACAGGTGATCTTGAATGATTTCAGATACTCCAATTCACTTTAATTTTGCTATTCCTTATGTACGACCTTGGATTTTATAATCTAATTTATAGTTTGTTTTCTTTTTTTAAACCTGAAAATATGTACCATGTATTTTTACTTCATCTGCCTTGTGTTCCACCTTGAGTGCTCTGCTCTATTGCCAGTTAGGAGAATAACTGGTTTTGTTAAGTGAAACAAAGTGGCCAGAGAAAAGAAATAAAGTGCGTCCTCAGAAGGAAGAAAAGTGAAAATTCTGGTCATCAAGCTGAGTTTAGACTATAGAAAAGAGAAAATACTTCTCAATTTTTCTTATTCCCTCCCAAAAGCTGCATTCTTCTTGTTTCTTTTTAAAAGACAAGATGTGAATATTTCTGGAGTGCCACACCTATTTGTAATGCAAACTACGTCCAGATCTGGTAGTTATTTTGCTCTAGAACATCTTACCTATTGACAGAACAGCAAACCTGGTAGTGCTTGAAGCAGGGTAGAATCCAGGCTTGCCACCCATCCTGCACAGGAGCATATTTGGGCTTATGCTTATTTAACAGGTTAGCAAATGCAGCATGCTGCATTGTATGCTGCAGACTTCAGTATATATACCAGAAAGCTAAACGAAGTCCAGTGTTATTTTACCCAGGATATCACATCTTCCCTTGAAGAAGGTCAGTACTGCTCCTGTTGGTCTCCAAAGTACTAGACAGCCCTAATGCAAGCTATGAAGCCCCCCAGCCCCCCACCCCACCAAAATCCCCCCACCATAGTTAACAACTCTTTTATTAATTGTTCCAGCTGGGAACTCCGCTTGCGCTGTAGATCATATTTTGTGAGCTTTCAGAATTGAAGTTGCATTGGAAGTACTTAAAATGTAACAGACATTTCAGTAGCGGTAGTATAAAAGCTTAAAAATCTGCTTTTTTAAATGAACCTGTAGTGTATGGAGTTGTGTGAGCATTCCAGAATATGCTGTTTAGAAACACTTTGGCATCCAGTGAGGTTTAGGAGGGTGTGAGTGCACTCACCAGCTCTGCTCTTCCTCTGCATCTATTATTAATCCATATTGTCCCTGAAGAAATCTTACTCAGCTCCATAACTTACACTACAAAAAATCAAAGGAATTATGAAATAGTCGTAGTGTCTCTCTTAAAAAGCAGGTTTTAAACACAGTTTCAGTTCTAAAGATTTTTCAAAGGGACTGGGTAGGTTTCAGTGCATATTTGGAATAAAAGATTTTTTTTATTCAAAGAAATTTTAATAATATTTTAAATTATTGATGTCAGAGGTGTCACAGTTCTTCCAAAATTCTGGTCAGTAGACCACTAGCAAAGAGAATTGTCACTGTCTTGCACCTGTTATGTGTAGTGCAGAGAAACACCTTGAAAACCTGAAAAAGCAATTGTAAATGAGTAAAAAGAAGGCTGTCTAGCTGCTGTGCTTGGAAACAGTATACCTGTCCAAAGCAACTTAAAGAGGGGAGGAGGTCTAAAGGAGACAGCAATGAAGCAGCTGAACAGTAAATCTAGATGTTAGGAAATGAAGAAAAACAGGTAACTGAATACATACATATGTATATCAGAGTAGTGGAAGGTAAGTAATAATATATACAGAGTTGGTGGAGGAAAGAAGAAACTGGGCAGTGGGAGGGATGGAAGAGGAATTTAATTAGGGGGGCAGAGGGGGCAAAATGAAGTAGGCACTAATTATTTTGTAAAAACCAAACCACGTTTTCCTACCAAAACCTTATGAAGCTTGATATTATGCATTTTTTTTAATTAGAGCAATCGCTTATTAAAAGTTTATGATGAAAAGAGGGAAGACAGGTTTTAATTCAGTTTTGAAATGGAGCTCTCACTTCTGGTCAAGCTGCTGTGACCTCACAAGATACTACGTTTGTCAGGGTAGTTCCCACAACTCCACTAACTTGGGATAATTTGTGTTTAGGGTGGTACTTCACATATTCAAAAGGCTGAGAGTATACACAATTGCTGTATTCCTCTGGAAATGGTAGCTTGTTAAACTATGGAGATCAGATCATGAGCGTGCCTCCTGTATGCACGGTGAGATCTTCAGTTTATTCTTTCCCAGGCTCTC